CTTCTTTAAAAAGAAATTCTCAAAAAAACCTTACATATTTTATTAATCTTTCCCGGACTAGTAGAATCTTGTTGTCAATCGAAGTGATGTTTTGTAAGTACATTTACAACTTTTTTAGCTTCGCATATATCATGGATTATTAATAAATACAAAACTAGGTTAATGCTTTGGTCATCGTCGTGACCTCGACTTCCATACAACCGCCATTACTAAATTAGTGCTTTTCCAAATCGTTGCAAACAAGAATATCATATTTACTATAGAGATTAATATATCTAAAGTATACAGCACATGCATTCCTATATATTACAAAAATCTGCACTGACCAAAATATCTTCAAATAAATGAAAGAAATATTTAAGTATTGAAGTCATATACGTGTACTGAGCCTCTGTACTCAAAAGTGTTGATGTTCTATAAGTTTTCTCCAGCAGTATTCTTCACCTAAAAGCATAGTTAGTAGCGTGTAAAATTGTACTCGGCGTGTAAAAGTGTACTCGGCGTACTTCATAGCAGTTTAGGCGTCAGTAAAGGCGTATGTTATTCTGTAGGCTACAATCTAAATTATAAATACGTTACGCCAAGGCGGGAAAAAGTCGACCTTTTAACCACATTTRGATGGATGAATTATTATATTTTTCACAAGTTCGTTATACGMAACCATTATTTCATTATGTTGAACTGATAACAAGTTATTAGCGATGCTACTGATATCTGGCAGCTCAACAAGTCTAAGAGACAAGCCAATACTCGGTAATAATAGATGGACTATTGGACTTTTGGAAAAGTCAAAGTAAACTAAAATCAACCAAACTCGAGGCATTTTAGAAGAACGTCTTTCAAGATGGCGGCCATCTTGGAAAACAAGACTGGTATTTACTGTAGAAAGAAAATGTATTTTAACAAGGGATTTAGAAAGGTTTAGGATTAAGGTGGATAGTATGTGTCACTATACTATTTAAAACTCAGTCTTATCGCCCTGTCGTTTAACGTACTAACTCTCTCATGTTGATGTCAGTTGACATACTCTTTATACAGAGACTTAAATGAACTAGTGGTGAACTAGGGTCACACGCGTCGGTGTTTTTAATGAAGCGGTTATGATGGAATGATCAATTAAAGACGATAGAAATACAGAAAACTTCAACCACTGTTTCATGCGGAGAGCTGAAAAGAAAGAAACGAATATGACAGCAAATTCWAATAMGTTGTRAACACTAAAACTCGATAACTCAATTTGCAAAAGACTATCGACACGAAGACAGAGCRTATTTATTCAAAGGTTGTAAGAGTTGTGATGAAAAGATACGTTTAACACCGTAAAAAAGATAAAAGACTGACTTGAAGACATTTTTAGACGATTGTCATTAATCCAAGTACGAAAAAGACTGGACCAAGTAAGGGTTATTAAAGAATAAGCTGTTGATGGAATGAGCTATCTARACCCCTAAAGGATTTCTCTCCAAGAATTCATAAGGATTAAATTTTTAAGAAAAGACTTTATGAAATTTCAAAAACAAGACAATCACTTACAAAGGTACACAAGCTGCTTWATCGATGAATGTCTGACTGATGCGCTCTCAAAAATATCAAAGATAGTGATCAAGAGCATTAGTATAAGACAAAGTAGCGAGGTATGAGGGTATGTGAATATTGCTAAAAACGAAACAGAAGATTACCATCACAAAGTTTTGACAGTAATTTTAAATAACAAGACATTTGAGCTTGAAGTAATGGGTSTGTGTTTCGCAATATCAAAGCCACCTTCTGAGACAAAGTATAAATKATAGTCTATAATAATATCAGCCTGTTTCCTAACATGATTGTTATAAACTCTTTAATAAAAGATTAAAGACTAAACTTCAGTCTATTTTAAAAGGCCGCCATTTTGTTTTATGYTGAATTTCCGCTGACCCCTTTTCAATCGAAAACGCAGTCGTTTTATTGCATGAAAATTCAATTTTAAAAATCAACATTTTTGCCTCTTTGCTCCGTTGTTTACCAACCGTCTGATAATTGTCAGTTGTTGGTATATTTGCGCAATAAATATTTTGAATTCTATGTAATTTTTGGTCCTACATCTAAGTCAATAATGCATGAATTTAATAAAAAAAAGTGGGCAATATTTAAATAATTTGTGGCTAAGTTTATTAAACAGAACTCTTATTTTCAGTATGAAAACCTAAATAACATTAGAGAAAGCGTTTTATTTGACCACGTGGATTTTTATTTGGGTTTCGTTAGACATTCAATATAATCAAATACAGCTATWTTAAAACCGTTTGACGGAGAGAAAAAACCGTGCACGACTGAAAGGTATTGTGGGTTTTGGTTGACAAATAAAAGGTGAACTGCCTGTGACAATCTAACGTGAAATAGCTGTACAAAACGACGTAAACAATTTTTCAATTTATCTTTGAATTGGAATTTRGAGGACCATGTGTCGGATAAAACTGGGAAATTACTTCAAGAATTAGCATATCATTTACCTTGAATTCGACACATACAAATTTCGACGTAATAAAGTCACATGAAACAATCGACGTCTTTTGATGTGAAGAGTTGGTAAACTAATTGGATCGTTCTCAGCMAAACACGTCTATCGATTGCTTCCAAAACACTCAAAATCAATYAAATCGCACTTGGATTACTTCAAAAGTCCCGAATTGTAAAGAATACCTTAAGATAATAAGATAAATAAAGTTTACAATGTACGTTTGAAGAAGGAAATGCAAAGTTAAATTCTCTTTCGGGTGCGCATGTTACGAAAGAACTACTTTGTGAGGAATATTAAAGTAAGAATTTCAACATACTAAATATAAATTTACACTTTATCATCTTTTCCAAAGTCGACAAAAAATAAGCAAACGGAATTTGGACAACGCTACTGATTAATACCTAAATAGGAATTGAAATGGCAAGGCGGTTGTAGATATTGCTTTCCCTCTATAAAAAAAAGAAAGAAAAATCAAAACTGTTTTGTGGCCAAGAGAAACTTA